CTCTGTATCCACAGGAAGCCTCTAGATAAAGGATTGATAAGCAGAATATATAGGGAACTCAAGCAACTCACTTGAAAAAAACATCCTGTTAAAATGGGCAGTGACATGAACAGTGAATTCTCTAAGGAAGGCATGCAAATAGTCAAGAATTGTATGAAGAAATGGCCAATATCTCTTATTATAAACAAAATTCAAATTAAAAATGCAATGTGGTATCACTTAATCCCAGTAAGAATGGCAATGATCAAAACAAGTACAAGTGCTGGCAAGGCTGTGGCGTAAAGGGAACTTTCCTACTCTGTTGGTAGGTGTAAATTAGTACAGCCACAGTGAAAATCAACATGGAGGTACTCGAAAATGTACAAATCAAACTACCATATGGCCCAGTAATCCTACTCATTGGAATTTACCCAAAGGACAGGAAAACACTCAATATGAAAGACACCTCCATGTTTATTGCAACATTATTCACAGTTGTTGAGACATGGAATCAACAGATGACTGGATTGAAAAAAATGCCGCACATATGCATAATGGCTACGGCTCAGTCATAATGAATGGTGAGACTCTGTCATTTGATTCAAAGTTGATAAATATAGAAGCTTTAGTATTAAGTGAAATAAGCAAACTATGGAAAATATTGTATATCTCTACTTAATATATATAGAATGTCTGCTCTCTATGGCAGAAATGGGAAGATTTCAAAATACCGTGGAAGGGAGGGAAACATAGATACCAGAGACTGTATGGGAGGAGGGTGGATAGCTTGGGCTAGATGAGAGGAGTTCAAGGAAAAGCACTAAACAGACAACAGAATGTAAGTTTCTTTGTTGAAAATTATACATCTGGTAATATCCTTTATTTGATAGTCTCACACCACATGCATGCTTTGAAAAACCTAATATACGTCACAAAGATGTACAGCAATTAAATCTAAATAAGACATTATAAAAAAAGAAATCTACTATAAAATAAAGTACCTAAAGCTGACAACAATGTATAGCATGCTTAACTCTTGGAGACTTTGGAGTAGGCAAAAACTTTTTAAAGAAGACCTGCAAAACACAGGCAATAGTCCCCAAAATAAACAAATGGGACTATATTAGGTTGAAAAGATTCTGTACAGCAAAATAAACAATAAATAGCATAAGAAGACAATCCTCAGATTGGGAGAATATATTTGCAAGCTATATCTCAGATAAGGGGCTGATAACCAAAATATGTAGGGATCTCAAGCAGCTTTCCTCAAAAAAAAAAAAAAATCAATTCCATTAAAAGATGGGAAAATGAGCTGAAAAGGCGATTCTCTGAAGAAGACAAATGAATGGCTCAAAAGCATATGAAAATGTGCTCGACATCTTTTATCATAAGGGAAATGCAAATCAAAACCACAGTGAGATACCATTTAAATACAGTCAGAATGGCTAAAATTAAAAAAAAATAGATAATGATAAATGCTGGAGAGGCTGTGGTAAAAAAGGGGACTCTCCTACACTGTTGGTGGAAATGTAATTTAGTACAACCACTTTGGAGAATGATATGGCAATTCCTCAGAAACCTACAAATAGAACTATCATATGACCCAGTAATTCCACTCTTAGGTATTTACTCAAAGGATAGAAAAAACCCTTAGTCAGAAAAATACTTGCACATCCACATTTATTACAGCATTATTTATAATCACTATAACATAGAATCAACTTAAATATGCAAAAATAGATGAATGGGTTGAAAAAATGTGGCATATGTACTCTATGAAATACTACTCAGCCATAAAAACAATGTGAGAACTTGACATTTGACGCAAAGTGGACAAATATGGAAGACTTAATGGCAGGCAAAGCAAGTCAGACTATGAAAGACAGACTTTGTATGGCCCCACTCAATAAACACCAACTGTCTGCACTCTATAGGAGAAACTGAAAGTTTGGAAGGTATAAGTAGCAGGGAGGGCAACAGTAGATACTAAAGCCAGTAAGGATTGGGATAATATGGCGGTGGGTAATGGGGCGGGGGAGAGAGGGCAATAGGGAAAGGGAAAAAAGTACATTTAATTGACACAAAAATGAAAAGCTATTTGCTAATGATAATGCATAAAATAATGTCTTTGTTTTGACTGATATGCATGGTATTCATGCTGGAAAAAACAATGTTGTACACTGTAAAGATATATGTGTTTAAATGTAAGTTAAAATAAAAATATTTTTAATCACCAGTTCCAGCACATCACTGAAATAATTTTTTTTGTCTTTTTTTTTTTTTTTAAGCAGGGCATGTTTGAACGTCAAAGTGGCACCCTTTCACACAGAATCTGGAATCTCTCTGAACATTTCCGATACAACATTGGTTGGCAGAAGGAGCCCTTTATGAAAGTTTCCCTAGTGTTTCCATGAGCTCAAATTAACCAGTGTTTCTTTATCTGACAAAAGAGGGCTTGCATAATCATGGGCAGTATATGTAATGCTGTCTTCTCAATTATTAACTCGTGGAGCAGGACATAAGAAATTGGGGACTACATAGGCAGATGAAAGTGTGAAACAGAAGCTGAGTAGAGACTAGGTCAGCAATGAAGGGAGGAGGGAATAATAGGGGTAGACATGACTGTGCTGTTATATGGAGGAAAGAAAAGGAAGATTCAGAGGATGAAGCTAGAAAGGAAGGGAAGATGACCAAAGTGATTTTTAAAAAAATGTTTTTTGACAAAGTCTCTCTATATTGTAATTCTCAAATCCTTGATTTTATGAATTATTTTATCCACTGAAAGGAAGTGAAGATGACCAAACTGATTTTAAAAATATGTTTTTTGACAAAGTCTCTCTATATTGTAATTCTCAAATCCTTGATTTTATGAATTATTTTATCCACTTCCTCCCTATTGATCTTGGGAAGTCACCATAAACCCACATGGTGGCGTACTAAAGGTAGACTCATTTACAGCTGGATTATAGAGAGTAGGACTGGTTTTCCTTCTTAGAAAAACTGTGAAACATTGCTCCCTGCCACAGCTGTCTTGCCCAGAATTATCTTCCTCTGATCACTACAGTCAAATCTAGGAATCTAGGGAGATTGGCTTTCTCAGTAGAGAAGCAAATGCCAGAAGGAGATTTAGAGGAAGTGGTATTTGCTTAAACAGACCAAAACAAGCCCTTACAAGTCCCTATTTCTCTTACAGTTATCGGTCAGTCAAAGTACTGGACCACAGTGGAAATCAGCAAATAAAACATCTCACTTGAGACTGGATGAAGAATGAGTCAAATCTCTACTTCTCCTCTATTTACATCCCCAAGAAATATTAAAAAATTATTTTATTTCATTTTTGTAAGATTTTGCCATTGGGCCTGTGTGCTCTCCATAGAGAGATAGAGAGAGGGAAAGTGAGAAATCATCCCTCATGGGGGAGGACCAAGCCACAATCCTTTTTCCTCCATTCTTCTCTTGAGATTTTGGGCATGCACATGTGCCCAACGTGATTTTAAAGACACCAGGTCTGGGACTTGAGCCACAGCCTGATATATGAGAGACTAGTGCCTTAACCACCACACCACTTACTGGCTCCGGATTCTGCATTTTTGAAAAAGCTCCCCATTGATTATAGAAACCTCTAACCTGGGGGAACCAGCAGTTAGCGTAATGGCTATGTTGCTGGACTCCCACGTAGTCGACTGCGGTTCACATCCCAGACCCGGTGGCTTAGAACTCACACACGGGCATGTGTGCATGCGTGCCCAAGATCCCGAGAGGAGAATGGAGGAGAAGGGATTGTGGCATGACCATCCCCCTGGGGGGTGATTTCTCGCTTTCTGTCTCTCTGTCTCTCTCTGTCTTTCTGGCTAGCGGACGCCCCCTGTCGCGAAAAGCAGGGGCACGACCCCACCAAAAAAAAAAAAAAAAAGAAAAAAGAAAAAAAAGAAACCTCTAACCTGGGATGTGACTCCTCTCTACTGTAAGTTCACTTAAACAGGTAATTTATGATGATAGAAACTTCTTCCTGCTCACACAGAGTACGATGGCAGTGGAATGTGGAAAGGAAGGTGGGGTGTGTATTGCTGAGGCTGGAGGTTGCCTTCACCTTCCATTAAATATGGGATTAAATAGCCCTGGAGGACTCCACAGGCAGCAAAACTGGGTGGGAACTGGAAGACTTGAACTTCGTGGGGTGAGGGAGTGAGAACCCACACTGTCCCCTGGGTCTTCATTACCATCACCTTCCCTGCCCAGAGCCCATCAACAGAGGAATTCTTAACACCTTTGATGCTTACCTGGATGCTGGCACCCAGGAACTACTGAGAATAGGGTGACAGTGGTATTGGCTTGCAAATACCTAGACATCACTGTGGCCTTGGTGTAAGCGGGTAGAAAAAAATTGAGCCTCAATTGTACCAACAACTCCACCCATAAACAAAGACTGGCTGTGGAGTGAAACCCACAGGAAAATAGAAACAGCAGTTCTTTTATACACAAATGTGGGATGTGTTCACAATGCTCTAAGGTGTCTACATGGTGAAAATGGTGATGATGGAAGGGGCCAAGGGAGAGAACAGGCCTGATTAGACCTGAGCAATACCAAGACACACCTTGTGGGCTGTCAGATGGGGGTGGGGTATCATTATGAGGCACCCTTGAGCTCCTGCTCTCTCATGACCAAAGCGTGTCCTCCCAGCTTCCTGTATCCCAGATGTGAGAACCCACTTGTGCCTCTGCACTGACAGGGAGAACAAATGCATAATAACTGAAACCTCAGGGGCAAAATGAGGCTCCAGTGATCATTTCTAAAGGCACCTAGACAGTTACCTGGAGGGCAGGGCAATTTCCTGTTGTGCAGCTCTCCTGTACTCTGCCCCTTGGAGGGAAGTGTGGACACGTGACACGTGACAATGATGAATGACTTCAGCCTTGTTGAGGAGAGAGGGCTGGAGCCCAGGACTGTGACTCACTATAACCTGTGTGGGTGAGCTCACTAGATATAAATAGCCCTGGAGGACTCCACAGGCTCCCGTGGTTAAATCCACATCACTCATCATTTGGTGAAGCTGAAAGCTCGAAGCAAAACTTACCCCCATGAAGCTGTGGATGTCTCTCCTGCTGGTCACTCTGGCCCTTTGTTGTTATGAGGGTGAGTGTCATTTGTCATCAGTCCAGCATCATTCCTGACAAGGGCTCTTCCCGTAATATCCTGTTTGGGTGCGCTAGGATCAGATAGGCCAAAATGTCAAGGCTTTTCCTGTGTTTGCTGGACTAGCCTCCCCAAGATGCACGGATTATTTTATCAATTTCCAAAATTTTGGAACTTCTATTAAAAAATAACTAAAAGCAAATTAGGAAAATTCTTCTGTTTATGTGTTCATTCCTTTACTGTGATCTGTATGTCCAAAGCATTAGGATGTAGATTGTAGGAAGATCTAGGCTCTTACCAGCCAGTCTTTTAAATTGGGGTAAAATTCTTTGAGCCTCCTCTTATCATTGGTGTTTATAGCTACCACCAAGAGTTCCAATGAGAGTAGCATGAACATTAAACAGGTATCAAAAAGCTATCCAGTAGTCATCAGACACTCTTCTACCCAGGTTCTCTAGGTGACTCTGAACCCATGGCCTTTTTCTTTTTTAAAATTTTTGTGCCAATACCGTACTGTTTTGATTATCACAGCTTTATAGCATATTTTCGTGCAGATAGTGAGATGCCACCCACTCCACTTTTCTTGCACAGGATTGCTTTGGCAATACAAGGTCTTTTATGATTCCAGATAAATTGTATGCTTGTCTTTTCTAGATCTGTGAAGAATATCTCTGGTACTTTGATTGGGATTGTATTAAACATGTAGTTTAATTTGGGTAGATTTGCCATTTTGATTATATTAATTCTGCCAATCCAGGAACATGGGCTGTCCTTCCATTTTTTTATGTCATTTTTAATTTTTTTTTTTTTTTTAGCTTATCATAGTTTTCCTTGTGGAGGTCTTTAACTTCTTTAGTTAGATTTATTCCTAGGTATCTTATACTTTTTGTGGCAATGATAAATGGAATTACTTTCTTTAGCTATATCTCAGTCTGCCTGACATTTGTATATGGAAATGCTATAGATTTCTGTATGTTGATTTTGTATCCTGCAACTTTACTGTATTCATTTACTACTTCCAGGAATTTTTTCATGTATACCATTGGATCTTCTATGTATACAATCATGCCATCTACAAATAGAGATAATGTCACCTCTTCTTTTCCTATTTGAATGCCTTTTATTTTATTCTCTTTTCTGACTGCATTAGCGAGGACTTCCAGTACTATATTGAAAAGGAATGGAGAAAGTTGGCATCCTTGTCTTGTACCAGTTTTTAGCAGAAAAGCTTTCAGCTTTTCCTCATCCAGGAATGTTCAACATACACAAAACCATAAATATAATATACCATATTAAGAAAGAAAGATGAAAAAAATATGATCATATCAATTGATGCAGAGAAAGCATTTGATAAAATACATCTCTTCATGATTAAGACTCTCAGCAAAATCAGCATAGGTCATTCCTCAACACAATAAAAATATGTCTATGAAAAACCCATTTCTAACATCATCCTGAATTTTTTCAGTTCTAAGGAAAGCAAATTTCTGTAAATCAGAGAAGTATTAGAACGTAGTGGAGTGTGAATTAGTGATCAGGAAACCCATCTTAACTATTCCCTTTGTTGTATAATCTTGAGGAAGTCACAACTTTGAGGGTCTTAAATTGCCATGACAAATACGTAATGGGAACCTAAAGTCCTGGGCATCCTTTCTAGTCTAACACCAGGGAGCCATGGGGAAAAAATATAAACTTTTCTTATATAAATTGTATTTTCATTCTTATGCTTCAGCCAATTCACTGGTCTGTCCAGACTTAATTACAAAAGTGGAAAACTTCTTACTCTCTTCTAATGATAAGTTTACGCCACAACTTTCCACATATGATGTACCTTTGACATCTGTAGAAGCAACGTTGGAAGTGAAGAAATGCACGGACAAACTTTCCCATGGGGAGAGACTCCGACTTGTAAGCATACTGGTAATTACTTTCTCCTTTATACATTAGAGGGTCTTATCAGCCACACATCCTGGGGTGAGATGAACTGGCTGCTCCATGAGGCTCTGGGGTGGGGTACCTACCTTGCTGCTTTTCTCTTGATAGAGTACCTGCTCCCCAGGGTCAATGCTACCAGGATACCTATGGAAATGAATGTAGCTGCTCACAAAATCTTGAGCACATTCGTTGTCTCAGGTCACTTCTGAGATGACACAATCTCCCCAGTGTCTTGAGAGGGGGGGATGGTCAGGGCCCCATGTAGGATTGCTGGAGAGCCTACTGCCTCACTGTCTAGGAATTTCAATGAGGATAAGGTCCACTCATCCAGTGGGCACAAGCACTGTGGAATCTCATGAGGAGTGTTGGGGCTATTGAACAAGGAGACAGAGGGAGAGGACAGGATCAGGCCTCTGTAGATACAACCATGGCAGTTGAGAGTCTCTAGGAGCTTCTGTAGACCCCAAACTTACTCTCAGCTCTTTCTACCCTGTGGCCCCCTCCTTACATACAAGTCTCCTTTTATTTATTTAGGTTTTTTGACTATAGGGTATGTGCACTCTCCAGAAAGACAGAGAGAGAGACAGAAAGCAAGAAATTACCTCCTCCCACCCCCCCCCAGAAGGGATGATCACATTGCAATTCCTTGTCCTCCACTCTCCTCTTAGGATCCTGGGCATGTGCACACATATGCTCTGCTTGAGTTTCAAGCCACTGAGTCCAGGACTCAAACCAAGTTGACTACGGGAGAGTCCAGCAATGTAATTATTATGCCATCTGCTGGTCCCATAACTCTCTTTCTTATATTAGCCTGGGGTAGAGCCCTGCTTTATCTCCTGTAATTGATGGGGAATTGGAGTACCTACAACTGCAGGTGCCTGGAGTCTCAGAGAGAAGAAGGACCGAGGCTGAGAGGGATAATTCCTGCCCTGGAAGGCTGGACTTCTGAAAGCTAAGCTTTGTTAAGTCTATCTCAGCCCAGCTCTGAGTCTCATAGCCCTGGGTGCTCCACTGGAAGGGAAAGTAGAGCCCACTGTGCTGGGACATTAGAGAACATAACCCCTGGCTTCCCTGTTCTACTTTTTACTGTCCCCTTCCATAGGAGACCTGAGCCACATTCTTGAGTCACCTCAGGGATTTATTTACTTGACTTTGGAAAGGCTGTTCTCTATTGTGCGTGGAATGTTGTGACACACCACGTCAAGGCCAACTTCCCCCACATACTGGGTTTCTGTCTCTGCCATTTGAGAGCCTTTTGTTGGCAGAAATTCCACTGGCACCTTAGTGTTAACATATGATCTCCTGGAACTCCATGACTGACCTCACCTTTCATTCTTTTTTTTTTGTTGTTACAGGATAAAATCGTGCAGACATGTGTCTTCCTCCAAACATAAAAGATTTGTGTCCTGTTTACGCTGTCTTACGAAGATACATTGATGTTTACTGCAAAATGGGAAGGTTTCAGCATCTTCCTTTATTAAATTACTTGTCCTGCACTTCTCCACTTGTCTTGTTATTATCCAACAGTCTCAGACTTTGAGTAAAGCATGTTTCCTTCCCCCTCCCCTTTATTGTTGATAGAGCATGAGAGAGAGAGAGAGACCTCTCCACAAAGTCTGATCATGCCACTATCCCCAGTCCTCAGCTTCTTCAAGATGCTGGATGCCGGCACACACTTGCAGCATGTTTTCAGGCTGATAGGGCCAAGGATTCCAGCCACTGTTGCTGTGTGGCTTCCAGCACTGTAACCCAGCACACTGCAAACTATGTTGGAGAGGCCATCAAGCTTAGTATTGATAGTGATGTGGCCATTTGGAGTTATCACATTAAATTCAAGAGATTAAATATCCTGTGTTCATGGTGGCCGGAGGGTCATGGACTGCAAATGAAAATATGTGGCCAGGAATCATCCTTCATTGCTTTACAGATTTGCCATTCATCAGTGAACATGATGGTAGAGGATAAGCAGTAATTAAATCATATCTGCTGGTCTTGAGGTGAGGGTCCATATGTACCCTTACCTAAATGGATGAAATACATCCCCTATATGATATCCTTGCTGGCTACAAAGATAAACACAAGGATTCAAGGAGCTCCTACAACTGTCTGAAAACCCAAACTGGAACCACTGCTAGAGAATCAAGTCCCTCTTTTTGTCCATGCACTCAAGAATTTCCAAGACAGTGTTCCTATCTGGTCCTTTCACTGTATTTCTCTAGTTATGCAGGTACTCTTTGATCAACCACACTAGTCTATGTGCCATTTGCTTATGCATCAAATTACATCACACACTTGTACTGGGACATATGTGTTTATTTTTGCCTCTCGCTCTTTTCCTGAAAAAGATAGCCGATAACCACAGCTTTAAGGTAATGTTACATATCTTCTTCTGCAAAGTCCTTTAAGATACCCACATTCTGGAATGCATATCACTCTGTTATTGTCACTTTATCTTTCTGTGATATCTGTATATCAGAGTTATTATGATACTAAATCAAAATAATATATATGTCATAATGCACATCATTCATAATGCTATGAATTATTAGTGTCATATTTTTTAAAAGAATTGTTTTATTTAACTTCATTTATTTATTCTAATTTGACCAAAGAGCGACAGATAGTGAGAAAGACAGAGAGAGGGAAAGTGAGAAAGCAAGCTGCTGGGTCCAGGACTTGAACTGTGGTCGGCCAGGTGGGAGTCCAGTGCCCTTAACCACCATGCCACCTGCTGGTCCCATTAGTGTCATATTTTAAAAATACTATGAATTTCCATTTATTATGAGAGGTATATCCTACTATTTATGCTGAAAGACTTTCATGTTTTATCTTACCTAGTACTCACTAGTACTTGAGCATGTAGAGTGTTTTCAACATTTAATGAATGAATGAGAAATGCCATGTCCAGTGGTGCTCAGCACTGGCTCTATTTGAAGTCAATTCCAGGACACACAGATCAGTATCTCTGTATGTGGAACCCACGCAGACCCCATTTCCTCGCTTCCCACTGCTGTAGGTGCAGACTGCTAGTGACTTGTGGAAGCAGAAGTTGAAAGACAAGAGTCCTTCATGAGACTCAGAGAGCTCCAAGGATCCCCAAGTGTGTCACATGACATTTTTCCCTTTGGATATTTAATTAGCCCTCCAGATTTGCTGATTACAAATGTGTAGGTTTTACTGTTATAAAATTAATTACATTAGGGCCATGTTCTATATGATTTTCTCCATGAGCTGCTGTTAAAGAATATGAGGCTGGATAAAACCAGACTAAACAGATTAGGGCTGGGTGGTAGTAAGAAAACAATGCAAAGGTAAGAGGACCTGTACTTTCATTCTCTTTGGACAGCATCTCTCAGAATACTAGCATCTCAAAGAGAATACATCTCTGTCAACTTTCTGCTTAATTTGCATCTTGTATTTCTTTCTTGTTGAAAATATAAAAAAAATTTTTTTTAAACAAACTCTGGTTTGAAAATAAGGAAATTGAATTTTATTAAGTACAAAAGATTTACTTATGCTGATTTTCTTGACATTAACTTTTGAGGTTCACTAATTATCTGTTCACTAATGTAGGATCTCTTAACTTTTTTCCTTGAAAAACTTTAATTATCTCTGCCTAGGTTTTCTTCTTTCAATAGTTTTGCCTACTATCTACCCGATACTCTAGAAGATCAATATTCTGAAAACAAAGCTACAAATTTGTTATGCCTTACTTAAAGAAATCCCTCAATGGCTCTCCTTTTCTTTTTTTTGGGAGAGGTTTTTGCTATAGGGCGTGTGCGTTTGCCAGATAGAGAGAGACAGAAAGCGAGAAATCACCCCCCAGGGAGGATGGCCACGCCGCAATCCCTTCTCCTCCATTCTCCTCTCGGGATCTTGGGCACACATGCACACGCACCCGGCGTCAGTTTTAAGCCACTGGGTCCGGGACGTGAACCGCGGTCAACTGCATGAGAATCCAGCGACATAGCCATTATGCTAACTGCTGGCCCCTCCTTTTCTTATAAAAGACTGTGATGTCTCAATTTATAAAATAGAATATGGTACTCTGTGTAATAATCAAAACTTTGCACTGACTCAGAATGAACACTTTTTCTTTCTTTCTCCTGGCACTTTCACCAGTTGTCTCAAGGGGCAGCAGATGGCATGGCTTCTGATACCTCCAGTGTTGGGGAATTGGAAGGAAGAAAAGCAAGAGGGTGAGAAAGATCTCAATTAATAAACTTAAAAAAGTACTTATTATTATTTTTTAATTTGACCATAAAGAGAGAGAGGGAGAAAGAGAAAGAGAGTGACCAAAGTGATGAGAAAGCTCTTAATTGACCAACTGTTTTGGGATTGGCTTAGGTTCTCTGGGTCTTGCAAATGCCTCACTGCATGAAACAGATTCATGGATCTAAGGGAGTTCATATTCTCTTTCTTTTTCTTTTTCTTTTTTTTTCTTAGAGAATTTTTTCTATAGGGTGTATGTATTTGCTGAAGAGATAGAGAGAGACAGAGAGATAGAAAACAAGAGGTCACCCCTCTCCCAAAGGGGATAGCCATGCTGCAGTCCCTTCTCCATTCTCCTCTCGGGACTTCGGGCATGAGCCTGGTGTGACTTTTAAGTCACTGGTTTGGGACTCGAACCACAGTTGACTATGTGGGAGCCCAGCGATGTAACCATTATGCAATTGGCTGGTCCTGGGAGTTCACGTTCTTCTTCTTTTTAAAAACTTATTTATTTAATTTTCCTTATTCATTAATTTATTTTAATTTGACCAGAGAGAGACATAGAGAGAGAGAGGGAAAGTGAGAAAGCAAGCTACCAGGTCCAGGACTAGAACTATGGTTGGCCATGTGGGCATGTCCAGTTCCTTAACCTCCATGCCACCTTCTGGTCCCCTGGGGAGTTCAGATCCTTAAGAGCTATCATTTCCTTGATGCTTTAGAAATCATTCAAAAGCAAAAGCATTCTAGAAAGGTGAAAGTAAAAGTCAGAAGTCTTTTTGGATAAAAGAAATTATAAAATAGAAGAGAACAGAGTTAAAATGCTAAAACTAACATAACATATATGTAGAAAATAAAAGAGAAAGCTGTAAGAGTAAAGAACGTAAAGTTGAAATTCAATTCAGAAGGTCAACAGGTGACGTAGTGGTTAAGGCACTGGCCTGCCACATGGCCAACTGTGGTTTGAGTTCTGGACATAGCAGCTTGAAACTCACACTAGGCATATGTGTGTGTCAACTTTCTGTTGGGCATGTGTGTGCGCATGGACAAAATCTTGAGAGGAGAATGGAGGATAAGGGATTGCGGTGTGGCCATACCCTTGAGGGGTGATTTTATACTTTCTCTCTCTCTCTGTCTCTGGTGAGCACACACATCCCATAACAAAAACCTCTCAGGTAAAAAAGAAAGTTTCAATTCAGAATATCCAACTACAAAATTCCAGACTGAGAAAGAAAAAATGGTGGAATCCATACCACCAAAGAAATAACAGAAGATTTATCCCAAAAGGGGGGATATGAGATTGAGATGTCTTACTCCTTTCTCACACCAAAAATAGTCATGGTGACATTTTGGATTATTATGCATCAAAAACGTTGCATAAAGAGAGTGAGGAGAGGACACCAGAATACAGAGGCAGAGAACAAGAGGTTTCTGTTCCATTCTATGCTTCTGGGGATCCTTATGGAGACATAAGAAGCACAAAGACATGAACTCAGAAAGGCTCTGGAGCTGGTAAGACCTCCCACCACCAGGGAAGGTATGCTAGATGACCTTCCCCATGAAGTCTCTAACCCCAGAGCCCACCTCACAGAAATAGGCAAGCAACAAAACGGGTACAGATCTTGTGCCAGTTTTAGGAGCTGCACCTAGCTAATACCTCACAGAGAAGCCTGCACTCCCACCAAGCACCACTCTGTGACTGCAGCCACTTGACTCCCTTCCCACCAGAGTTCAAGGATTGTGACAATTTCTTCCCCGCCCAGAACAGGACATATGAATTTGCCATTCCCCACTTCCCTGCAGCAGAGATGAGAGAATCTAGACAGTCAACAATTCCTCTCAGAAATTGGGAGATCTGTGCTCCACTCCCCCAGACTTAAAACTGCAAAAATAACTTTCTTTTCCTCAATCTATCAGCAGAATTGCTTCTCAGGATCTCCCTGAACAGAGTGCTTGCACAGAGGGGAGAACTGGCAGAGAGGAGGACACCAGAATTTTCCTGTTCCTCGGTGAGTAGAAAACAAGGACAGGTGGACCCCTGCTCCTCTTTTCCAGGCAGATACACACTGTGAAGGGGAGATCCTGCCTTGATGGAGACCAGGGCACCATGGTGGCCACTCCCTACAACCATGATGAGATTCCACAACCATCCCGCTTAGACAGAGTCTGTGACCAGTGGTGAGTCTTGCCATTGACCACCTCTTAATTGTTCACAGAAGTAGGGTGGGGGAAAGACAGCAGCAGTGGTAGAGAAAGGCAGTCACCAGTGTGGGCTACTCCCTCCAGC